TTGTTTTAGGGCACGTAGACTGCTGCTGTTGACACTGACAGACGGTCTTAGTGGAATTTTTAAAGTCTGGTGGAAGGCAGAAAGCCGTTCCTTCTTCGCTCCCATACGTTTCCTTCCCCATGACTTCTTTCACTGAAACACTAAACTTCTCAGAGTACTGGGTCCATGTCCTGGACCTTTTTGTAAGGAGGAGTCTGCCCTATTTCTATGCTCTGTGCACAGAAATTTTTCACAGATGATTTTTTTTTTTTTCCTCAAGATTTACTTCTGTGTTCTGTAAACGTGCTGTTCCTTGTGTTAAAGTCCTAATAAGCAGTTGTGCTGTTTTGGACCTTGGAGTAACAATCTGCTTGTTCACCTCTTGAACAGATGACTAATATTTCCATGACATCCTCAGGGACTAACATTCCAATGTGTGATAATATAGAGCACCATGAAAGCCTGGACAAGAACACTGTTTTCCTTTTCACAACTTCTAATTATATCTTTAAAGTGAAATAGGAAGTATTCTCTTATGAGTCTTTCTGTAGTTAGATTTGGTTCCTAAGTTAGTAAATATATAAACAGCCTTTCGTAGCTATGTGTATAGTCATAAATAACGTGGTTTAGAATGAGTACTCTTTAATATTAATATTTCTCTCACAGTTAAGGTTAAGAAAGTAGACTTGTCTTTTATGTCAGAGTGCTGGGAGGAATGATTTCTCAGCATGCATGCAGACAATTAGATGTGTGAAGCAGTGGTTTTACACTGGGGACTGTACTGCTTAGTACTCTTCATGGGAACATATGGTATTGAGATCCTTTGTAAATGTTGAGAAGCACTGTGTAAATTCAGCATTTGCTTATATTGTAGAACTGTGGAATATGGTTAGAACGGGCTCATAATGATTATCGAGTCCAGTTCCTTACTCCACACAGTACCACCTGCAATTTAAACCCTGTCTCATGAGATTCTTGTGATTCCTGTGGCAAAGCAGTTGCTGTTGAGGTCCAAAGTCAGTCTGCAAGAAGTGTGTTGTCTGAAATGTCAGTCAGCCGTCTGCTGCTAGTCGCACCTGAGCACAGGGAGAGCAGGTCCACTGTAAATTGTATTTCCTCGCTCTTCTGTTCGTCCCCAGTGAGTGCTTTGTCAGCTGAGGGAGTAGAGGTGCCCTTTGCGTCCTGCGTCCCCCGTATGACTCGGGATTTGCTGGTGGATTTGCAGCACGTGGAACAACGCAGGCAGTGTTCCCGGTGAGCAAGGGAAGGTGCACAGGAGCTGCCAGCTCCCCACAGCCAACACACGGCTCTTTGTTCATGATCCCGCTGAGAGTAAGCATGCTGCAGGGCCACTGATGCGCTGTGCTTAAGGCTCGTATACATCAGTGCTGTCAAAATAAACTGTCTGTGCTCATCGGTTTGCTAGCCTTTTGTGTCCTGAAAGTTAAGAAAATCTTCCACCAACCCCACAAGCTGTAGTGCTGCTCCTGTCGTGAACATAGTTTGTTTCTTCTTGGGCTTTTTGGAGAGCAGCTGTGGTAGCTTTTCAGTTACACAATTCTGAGTCAGTACTGTTATAGCTATGAAAATAGTATATCTTAAAATCCAGAGAGATTTGCTAGTAATGACAGTGAGCATGATAGCAGACAGTTTGCTGCGGAGAACAGTAGATTGTCTTGCTTTTTTTTTTTCACTTGTGCTTTCCAAGAATGTGGTACTCTCAGCAAAGTGAAAATGAGTGTTGCTATAGTTTTGATTGAGGATGGGAGTGTATTTTTCAGTTGACTTATAAAAAATAATATTTACTTAAAGAAAAAAACCGTGGGCTGGCTCAAGTTGCTTTGAGGCAGTGTCCTCAAACAACAGAAGACAGAGGGCCTGTGAGAGGAGGGCGTTGCTGTGCTATTTGCAAGGCTGTGCTTGCCAGAATGACTGCTTTGTTGGTGAACAGCCTACTGATGACAGCCAAGGAAAGCAAAGACATCGCTTCAGGTGTCAGCCTGATTGAAGTAACTGCTTCCTTGACAATTTATTCCAAGTTCTGGGGACATAAATAGTATGATAGCAGCATGTACTTTACACCTCTTGAAAACATGCATGTATTTGTTATTTGCTGATTATAATGTAAATGATGCCAGTGAATCATTTTTTGAAAAATTATGTGCAAGAAGAATGTTTAAATCTATCAAATGAACCTTTTTTAGTGGAAACGATAATTTCTCATGCTACATTAAGTGTAGCCACGGAGAATTATAGAATAAAGCCATGGTGCATGTGTTGTATGCTCTGTTTTTGTGTGTGTCATTGGTTGCTCCTCTTAAATACTTGAATGTGAGAATTTCTTACAAGCAGAAGCTGCTTGGTTGCTGTTTTTTTATCCAAATGCTAAAAATACTCAAAGAACTTCATTTTAAGTCTGTATAGTACTTGCATGGCAGGGTTTGAAGCAAAACTTTAGTTTGAGTTATCGGTGTTCCGTACCATGTTATGCTGCTACGTATGTATCTGGTACCCTAATATAAGTAGTCCTAACCACTGTGGTGCTGGATGCATTACCTGCATTTTCTGGTGTCCATGATTCCTAACCCACTTCCTCTCTACAGCAGTAGTGTGTACTGATCATCAATGCTTCCCAATTACTTAGATTTTACATCAAGGAATTAAAAAGGCACACTGCAGATTCAGCTTGATTTCTCTTTACATTGCAGGTAAGACAGTCTTCTTTTTGCGCAATTTAGGGAAGCAAATTTCAAAGCTTTATTGTGAAGCTCAGAGACACAATCAAACCAACCTAACTGTGTCTGCAACAGGAAGCTTGTGGACTAGAGAAAGCCACATGTAATACTCTGACAGAGCAAGCTGAGGAAATGTAGCCTAGATGTTTTTGTTTTTTTTTTTTTTAAAAAAAGCTATTTTAAGAAGTGTGTGAAATCATTAGGTTAGCAGAAGCTAGTGTTGTTTTTCAGTGGTTCATTTTCAGAAGGGAGAGGATATTCTGTGGGCTTTCTTTCAGAAGTTGTTTCAGTTATCGTTCATGTTCATGAACTGGATAATGAAATTTCAGGACAACTGGCATTGGAGAATAAATGCGGGTGCATTTAAAGTTGAGATGGCAATACCAAAGAATCTTGAGTAAAAAAAAAAAGCTTGAAAGGATAGGCTGTGATTAGTAGAATAAGTGAAATGTTTCATGTTTAGGAAAAATTAACATAGAAGAGGGAGAACTGTTGACTCAGTTCCTTCCAGCCTATCATCCACCCCAGTCTAGGACAAACTGTGGGTTATGAATTCATGATGCAGCTTTGCTTATAAAGACAAGGTGTTGTGTGTTTATTGGTCTGAACAGAATGTGGTGCAATCTGTAGGGCAAAACTTCCTGCTGTTGTGCTTATGGGGAGGTGCTGGATCAGTTTTGGCCATTGAACTTCAAGAAAGTTGTAAGCACAGTTAATTTTTCTGGGGCTTTAGGAAAGATGGTAAGTGTGGAAAGAATAATTGAATGAATTAGTATTTCTGTAACTCAAAGAAAAGGCTTTAAGCTCGTGGCATGGTATCTTAATACTTCCAGAAAGACAGCAGTCAGGCTTTGGGTGTCCTGCTGGGTGTGCCTTGAGTCGTCTTGTGAGCCCGTATTCTTCTGGCCCTTTGAAACTTCCTTTTTTTTTTTTTTTTTTTTTTTTTTGAATTTACTTTTAAAAAAAAAAATGTCATGGAAGATCCTCAGCCATTCTTATGAAACTTAGACTGCATGCACCTTTTGTGAATGTAGACTTACTTAAATACAGACTGACAGAATAGGTATGTTACCAATATTTTGGGAATTTATTCTCAAATTCGGAGAAAAACTGTGAGTTGAAGCATTTGTCTTTTCTGCTTTGATAAGAAGAAAAAAAGAAAAGGAAACAGTGAAGTATTATCCCCATATTGAAGCAGGTGAAGGAATAATGTTTTAGATTCAGCAGTTGTCAAACATCTTTTATTGACAATCTTAGCTTATCTTATCAAGTATTTCATCCATACTGTCATGTTAATGTAGTGCTAGCATCTTAATTTTCTTCTCTGTTGTATATGTTTTTGCATTGGAATAGGCAATACAAGAGAGCTATCAGTTTAAACAGATGGAACAACGAACTTGAATAACTTAGAAGGTTCATCTATAATACAACAAATAAGCTCATAATACATGGCAATTATTACCTAAGCATAGGCGAGTTACACTTGCATTAAAAACTGGAAAATTTTCTTTCTTGCATCTGTTGAGATGCTTTGTTTACTTTTAAACCGCTTAGAGTTTTCTTCAGACATTGCTGCATTAGCTGAGTGAAGGAGGAGATTGGAGGGAATTTTTTCTTTCAGTGGTGCTAAAATTCTAACGCTTGGAAAGCCTCAGACATCATTTTTCAGGTGTCGCGTTCTAAGAGATATTTGAAAATACATTAGTTTGTAAGGATCAGGGCTGTGTAGATTAATAATGTTCCCTCTCTCTTCCCAAGTTGTCATTATGAATGCTAATGTTTTAATTGTGGGCGAGAGATGAAAGAGTGTAAGAAAAACGACATCTCTGAGTTACAGTATAGCTGGAAAAATGTAGCCCAAACAAGCGATCTGCTAGGGAGCTGCTCGTGTAAATGTGTGCCATGAAGAGGCTGTGTTCTAGCCTTTTTGAGAACAAATCCCAGTTTGCTGTGCTAAGTGTTCATGATTGGATAGAGGGCGACATGTATAGAACTCAAAAATAGATAACTGCTTATTTAGGAGGACAGGCAGTCCTCCTACTCAAATCATATCATCTGAAAGGCTACAAAATGTTGATGACTTGTTCCACCTCTCCACTCTACCCTGCATATGTTGTTTTCCTCGCAGGCTCTTTTTAGCAGCAGTCTTTTGGCTCTTCCTTCCTTGTACAAAAATTTAGATTTTGAAGTCTTAAATAGTTGGAAAGCTTCTGTGACCTTCCCCTTTTAGCTCATGCTCTGCCAGAATTGAATTTGGAACTTACCTGAATTTCTGTTCTTCTCTAGGACAGCCTTAGGACCTTTTGGATGGAAGACCTGTGGTTCTGTGTTCATGTCAGAATGACCTAGATCACTTTGCCACTCTATGGTTCCTACCGCAAGCGCTTGACTGCAGTGCAGTGGGATTTCACCACCAGTGCTTGTGGACCATCCAGATGGCTGTAAACCTGCAGAGGAGGTTAGTATGAATTGGGATCCAGGAATTTTTGACACTTTGGTGACGTTTGTCCGTTTTGGATGCATCATAGAGTGAAGAGATTGCATGTGTACTGCTAAGTTGCTATTAGTATTTCTTATTGTTCCACTCGCTTAGGTCCCTTGGGGACCAGTTCAGTTGTCTGAAACCAATTAATTTCTTTAACTATTTACACAAGACTAGTTTATCAGTTACTATTGTTCTCCTCTAGTAGAGAAAAATTCTACATGTGAATAGAGCACTGCATCTTCAGTTCTCCTAAATTCTACTTCATCCATGTGAAATCTTGACAAGAGATCTAGGTCAGTGAGTAAGAATTCAGATCGGTCTTCAAACACAGGACTTCTGGGCCATAGCTTCTAACAGAAGCATACCTATATGTGAACAGCAACTAAGGCTGTTTGGCTTTTTTATTTATTTATTTTTTCCTACATTCAGTTTCTCCTTAAACCATCTTTTTTTTTTTTTTTTTTTCTTTCTACAAGCCATTTGGCAACTTTCATAGGGTTGATTTTCACAGACGTAGTCCAGAGAACTCATTTGGGACAACTTTGCAGTTCAGGTCTTTTGGACAAAGAGGGAAGGGGCTTGTTTCAGGATTAAGGGAATCTCCAGACAACTTCATAACGTTTTAATTTGGTGTGGGTCAAAAAAAATCTTAAATTCTTAAATATCTTAAATTCATTTCTTCAAAAGAAAGTCTTAAACAGTTTAGGAGAGGGAGTGAGATCTGTTCAAAATTTATACCTACCACTGCTAAGCAGTGTTAGCTACTCAAAATAGGAAATCAGCATCAAGAACAACAAAAAGGTGGATTACAGCTGTATTTCTGGATTTTATTATGGTGTTTTTAGCAGAAGCTTCCCTGCTGTTACTTTCCCTGTAGCCTAGTCAGCTGCTCTGTGGCTGTTGTCTCTGGTGGTGACTTTAGTCAGGTAACACATTTGTGTGGAAATAGATGCTGTTGGACAATACTTGATTGTTCTGCATACTTTAGTCTGGCTAAGTATTGGTGAACTGATTTGTTTGACAATCCAGAAGTGTTCGTGATTGTTGTTCTGGTGTATCAGTTCCTTGGTTGATGTTGTTGCATTGTTGCATAACTTTTTCTCAAAGCAGGAGGCTGGCTTGTTGGTGAATCTTTAAAAACAATAAGCACTTGATACAGCCTTCTCAAGCACCCCTAGTCTTTCTTGTTTGAAGATATTCTGGTTTATTTAGGGAAGAAGAAATTTCTAAGAAAAGTTACTGTAAAGTAATTTCAAAAAAAATTGGAACATAGAGTTTTGAAGGAGACTATACAATTAGGATTTAAGTTACAAATTAAAGTACGAAATAATTGCATTACTCAAATACTGTAGTCCCCAATTAAGTTATAGCTGAATTTGCAAAATGGTTCCACTGTATTCCTCAGATTCCTCATTGTATTGTGCTGCATTCCTCAGTGGACCTATTTAACCCTTGGACTACTAAACTGGAATTTCCTCTACGAATGTTGTGGTTGCGGTGTCTTAGTAGTGCTACCCAAGAGCTGCTTTAAATATAATATCCATGTTTGATGTAGGCCTCTTGCTTGTTATGCTTTCCTTCATTGATAATGTTATCTTTTTATAAAGAAGTGCTCAAAGTGTTGGATGTTCTTTCTGAAAACAACCCACGTTTTGTCACGCTTGACTGGATTTAAATGCAACATGCTCTTGGTCTAAATGTTAATATTTTGTCGTTTTAAGTTTCAGCAAATTGATTTTAACTAGTGGATATTTTACTTGTTTTGCTTATTTGCTTGGAAATACTACTCTAATGAATGTAAAGAGGTTCAAAATAGTGATATGGGAGATGTCATTGTGGCCAGCATTTAGTTTGTCTCAAAATTTGGCAATTGAAGTTTTGATGTCTGAACATTTTCTTGTTTTTTCACTGAGGTTATGTACTGTATCTGGAGAGGAGGGATAAGACAAAGCTGTTCACAGTGAGATTACTAGACTGAATTTCTTGTCCTTTCTGGTTCCATTTTTTTTTTTTCCTCTGTAGTCTCTATATTCTGCAATTAAAAGTGATTTGACTCTGCTGTCTAGCTCTGTACTGTATTTGCCATCAAGCTTCTTTCAGTCTTTCATGGCTGCTCTGTTGGGCTTTTTTTGTCTGTGCATTGAGCTTTTCACATATTCATGTTTGTAGGGACTACTAATGCAAAATTTGGTTGATTTATTAGCATTAGGACTAGCATATGATGTGGCCCAATCAGGATTCTCTCCTTTGCACTTAATGAGACCACAAAAGTTATGCCTGCTGGTAACTTACAGTGAGCTAGGCACATGCCAATGATGAGTTGCAGTATTGTTAGCTAGAGTCATCATTTAGGCTCCCCAGGGAGGTGGTTGAGTCACCATCCCTGGATGTGTTTAAAAACCATCTGGATGTGGTGCTCAGGGACATGATTTAGCGGAGGGTTGTTAGGGTTAGGGTAGTATGGTTAGGTTGTGGTTGGACTTGACGATCTTTAAGGTCTTTTCCAACCTGAGCAATTCTATGATTGTATGACTTATAATTGCTTACATAAACCCGTAAGAAAAGCCATGTTCATTTGATAGGTGAATACTGTATGGCTAGGGTGTTTTTAATCATATGGGCAGCTGTATATTTCTTAGAGGAGTAGAGTCTTAATTCCATTCCTTCTCTTCTTTCTGCCTCTTTCTCATGTTAAACAATCTGAATTGTGGCAGCAACAGAAGACTGCTTTTTTGTCCTAACTCTACTTCATCCTTTTTTGTATGGTAGCAGCCTAGGAGATGTAGCTGAAAGAGCAGTGAGGGAAAGAGAGTGTCTGCTTGCAGGAAGCAGAATCGGTCAGAGCTGCTGCCTGCTGGAGGGATAAAGACAGTTTGCTTGCTTGAATGTCATATGGGAAGATGCAGCGGAGAGAGAGTAGAATTCTGTTGTGTAAACATCCCCTAACTTCAAACTAGCCTTTACAACAGTTGAAAATGGACAGTACTGATACTTCTATAAATTCCTTTGTACTGTTAGGGTTCACAAGTTCTTCAGCGAATAAAGGTCTCTGGCTTACCTGAAGTCTGAGTTATGGAGGTTATGTTCTGATCCTCTAGAAATATCAGTCTGTGCAGTAGACCAAGATACTGTGGGGATGAAGAAAGTATCCAGAACTCTAGTCGTGGTCAGGGTCCATTGGCTGTATCAGGGTATATTGCAAAATGCGTGGGCCACTTCTTTTCAGTTTCTTCTTTCCCTCTCCAAGGTAAAAATAACTCTGAATTTTAAAGTTTTCCAGAACTCTGCCTTGTCAGTCTGCCTGTTTTGCTTTTTATCTGACAGTTCTTTTCTTCTTGTTGAACTGTACAAAGTAGGACCCCAAAATAAAAAGATTGTCTACTTCAGAAACACTTAACTTGGACAATTTCATGAGTTCTTGAAGAAAATGTCACTGTTAGCCTTTCTATGCCATGTGTGCCTCTGCTTGGCTTGACAGGGGAAAAGAAGAAGTGAATCCTCAGGAATAACATGCTGTGTGTTGCTAGAAATCTCTGGGAAGACAGAGTTATTAAAAAAAAAAAAAAAAAAAAAAAAAAAAGGAAGAGCAAATGAGTAGCATCTTAACTTCAATGCAATACTGTGCCTGTTATTTAAGTACAAAGCAGTTACTGTCAGCAGAAGTTACCTGCTGAGGGAACAGCTGTATGGTGTGGAAATGACTTTGTGTGTGCTAATATATGCTTGGCAGCTGTGTGGACCTGTCTGCAAAAATATAGCCATTTGGTTTCTATGTAGAATCTGTATTCACAATGTGTCTGTATCAGTGGGATGGCAGGCTTCTTGAGAAGCACTGCAATGATTTCATGAATGTATCATAAAATTGGACAATTCTAGCTTTTCTTTTTGCCACGTCTGGTCAGATTTCTTGTCTAGAGAAAGAGAAACACTTTTTTTTTTTTAATCTTTAAAACATTTTCTTCAGAGGATTTGTGTTGCTTTTGCTTTGTTGGTTTTTTGTTTTGTTTTGGTGGAGAACTGTTCTAATTCTGCAGCACTTCTTAACTTTATATCTGCAAGCACTTGATTTGTCAGCAAGTTCTACAGTTATTCTAGGCAGAACTCAGATGGTTTCTCTAGAATGTTACCCCAGCATTTTTCCTTATATAGCTTTCAAATCTTCTTTTATTTTAGAAGACTTAAAAGTTTTTGAGTATTTTCCACAAATAATGCATGTAGAGGAAAAATGTTCTTCAATTATATTTTATATTTATTCTGATTCTCCTTATGAATTATTAATCTAGAACAGGAAGCTTTGGAGGTTAAAGGTTGCTGGAGTTATGCTATAAAGACAGTTAATTCTGTTCTTTGCATTTCATCCTATCTTTCTAGAAATATATAATCTTTTGTTCTTATCAGTTGACTGCTTATCTTTTATCCAAGTTCTTGGCTGTTAGTGATCCGTCATTAGTGATGGCTATTTGCTTATGTGATTTTATGCAATCTTCACAAGCTTTTGGAGAATTAATGAACGATTTTATTCCACTCTAGCTTTGTTTTTGATACATAACTAAACAATCAGAAGCCATATGGGGGCTGGATATTTTAGAACGTTTGAGACTTGGCTTACAAGATTTAACTTCTCCTCACATACAAGGATAACTTCAAGAACGTCGTATGAAACATTTGTTCACTTGATTGTTCATAGGCTGCTTAGGTCTTTGACCATCTTTTAAAAATGTGTAACAGAGAATTATGACTTCTGATTAGTCAAAGATTTCCCCTTGGAATTTGTGATTCTTCTTCACTGACACCTGAGTTGGTCCTCTATTTTACTTCCTTTGTAACTTCTATATTAGTAGCAGAATGTAATGTAAATTCCACTCTGCGTTGTTCGTTGGTGTCAAGAAGAATCTCTGCACGTTTCCACGGAATACTTCAGAAGCAAACATTACCTGGTATTTTTAACTCACGTGTGCAGACTGAAGAAAATC